TCTCTCTTTCCTTTTAAAAGAAAGAAAGAAAGAAAGATCCAAAGCTAAATATTTCGTGCAACAACACAAATAAGAAGTTAGAAGTCCAAATAAATGGTTTTTATTCCCATTTGAAGACAATAAAGGGAATCCAAAGGGTTGGTATAAGTCTTTCTTGTTTATTATATCTAGCTATCAGAACAAAAGCATTAAAAAGAAAGGTTGAAGCAGTGAAAGTTGCTCCTTCCAGGGAATTCAACAGAAGCAAATTGGAGCAAATAATGGTTCATCTTATTTCCTTTCTAGGAAGCTTTAGAACAGGGTAAAAATTCAGGTCAGATAAGGGTAGGGAGGGGAAGACTAAGGTGAAGAGATGTCATACATGTGGTGCTGGGGCTGCCTGGAATGAATGCCAGTATAACCCAGAAGAAGAACAGCCTCAAAACTCAGTAGGGCAGGCCTCCAACACCTTACAGGCAAAGCTCAAAGATGGTATAAGGAATGTTATGTACATCACAGTAGAAGGACTTAACTTTCAGACCTACTATTCATAATACTCAGTCATCTGTGGGAGAAAAGAATCCAAATAAGTGAACAGAAATTCTTAAAGGACTCTATTTGGGAGAAAAAAACTCACATCCTGGTTGTACCTAAAGAGGGGGCTAAAGCCTTGGATGGGTAACCAGATCAGATGACTTCAAAGGTGCTTCTAACCTTGAGAAATCAAATTCTATGCCAAGGCCGCATTGATACCTGAGGCATATTCTGGGATTTTAGGATACGACCCTTTGTGACCATAGGACAGCATCTGTATTCATGTGGTTAATCAGAACTTAAAATTCTAAGAACGTGAGTAACCAATTAGAAAATAAATTAATTATAACTCTGAAATTATATATTATTATTGATATTAAAATATCTCAGGTAAAAACACCACCATAATGTAATGCAGGTTAGTGTATATATGGAAAACAGCTCTCTAGAGGAAAGCTTTATTACTCCCTCAGGGTTTTCTTACAGAGTATGGATTTTTTAATTCCTAGTGGAATATTTTTCATACACCATTGCAGACTATTAAGTACCAGATATTACATTATGTAGTTTAAACTTTGCACTACTGCAGGAGAAAGACTTCCCTATTGAGAGAACTATTTTTTATGGTTAGCATTTTTTAATATGAAAATGAACACTCCTTTAGGGTAAGATCATCGAGACTGGAATTTGGGAGAGTTTTAAAACTTAACATATTCATCAATGTGTGTAGAAATTCTCTCAGGGGAGTAGGGTGAGGAAAGAAGAAAATACAACAGGAAGAAGGCTTTTTAATAACTTATAGTGTCAACATAGGGCAAAGCAGTGGTATTTTGGCTTCCACTGGGCATAACTGTAAACAGGCAAGGAACAAGCACAGGGTGCGAGCAAGTTAAAAATAATAATAATAATGGTGTTAAAGAGTGAAGGAAAATATGCATTAAACTTCAGGCCAGTTAAAAGTACGCTTGCTAATGGTCGACTATTAACTGCTCACCCAGGAGAGATGCAGACCCAGAAATATTAAACGGCAATATAAATTCACTTTTCAGGCAATTCCTGAGAAAATACAAGATGCCTTGATGAATTTTGGAGTCAAATGTGGAAATAAAATCTAAGTACTGGTGGTCATGAAAAAATTTTTTGCCAAAGAGTACTTGGATTCCTAGCATTTGGTAAAAGTGGAAAGAAAGTTTAAACAAAATTGACTACTCACTTGTAGACTGTGCCTCCGTTGCCATGACCAAGGGTGTCTCGATACCGTATGTCTTGTTCATTTATCTCCACAAGAAAGAAAGAAAAACAAAAAGGGTGTCATGCTGTGGATGGAAATGTCAAGGAAAAGCAACTCTGGGCCATAAACAACAAGCGGTCTGGGTCATTTCAAGTTCAGCTGCAAGAACGAGAAGATCAATACAACATTTGCTGTCCAATTTATAAAAGACGATACCAAGGGACAAAGTGATGGAAAGTTTAATGACAATTTGTTTGCCTGGGTCATTTCATTAAAGTTTGATAAAAGGTGTCAAAATGGAATGATATAACATAGCTCAAAAGGGTCAGGTCAGAGATACTGATAAGAAAACAGTCTCTAGCCCTGCATAGAACCAGTGCTGAACAGCAATGCACCCAACCAAAGTCAAACTTGGGAAGACAGCATATACACAGAGGCGCACAGCCAGGCCCCTAATCTAATGCATGATGTGTAAATAAATCAGCCCTGAAAACTCCTCAGGTGACCCTATAATTAACATTTAGCAAACTAACTAGATAATGTTTATGATTTTCCTGAGCATAGAGAGCCTTTCTTTGCAAATGATAAATTAGTATACAGCAATAACCGGTAGAAACCGTATTATGCTGATGGAGAAATGCCAAATCAATGCACTTTTAAATGTACATATACTCAAACATTATAATGCATTAAGGGAAAACACGCAGGCATGTGATTTTTACAAACTACGGTCATTTTTATAATTTGATATACAAAAACAGCATGCATATTTTCCAAGACTCCATAAAACCTACTATACCCAAAATATTATTCTCATTTGTATTACAAATAATAGGTAAATTATGCTAGCACCCACAAAATGTTTCACAGTTTCTGAAGAACTGTAAAAGTAACTGTAAATAAGTATTTATCAAATAACTAAGACTAGTCAGCCTTTATTTGAGGCATTCAGTAATTTTTTTATGCATGCTGGTCCAGCTGCCAACTTTATTCACTAAGTAGATTTAATAAAAGTGTTTGTGTTTGTTTTTTTTTTTTTTTACCATACCTAAAGCTTGAAGAAAGCCATCGTAAGCCTTGGGAAAAAAAAAAAATCCATTTCCAGGGAATTGCACTGCCTTGCATGGGCAGAAAATGGATGGAGTTTTTAATTCAATATCACTTGGAAAAAAATAGTTTACTCTCAGACCATTATTGTAAAGCTTTAAATATTTGCTCTACTCTAAACTTCCACCAATTGAATAAAGCAAGGCATCATTTATCAAGGGACATTTTTTCTTCTATACATTTCTGAAGTTGAAGCTTCAGAGAGCTGTGATAATTAGGAGTGCGTGCAAGTAACAGAAACAGCTCCTTTTCCAAGCCGTTTTGCCAATCCTAAAAGAATATCGACAGATTAATGTGTAAAGGCCAATGCAGCACCCAATTTAATTGTAGTACAATGTGATTGATGCAATCTACAATCAGTTAATTACTATATTTAGGGTCAGTGAAAAAATGACAGACAAGTCAGAAAAATTGGCAACTACTTTCCTACTTGAGAAAAACTGTTTACCATAACCTTTATACTATAAATACAGAAAACATTTTTTTTAATCTGTATAAAAGATGTGGTATAAAGGAAAGAAAAGAAAACCACATTATTATGGACTGAATGTTTTCAAACAACATGAAGAAATGCAGTACCTAAAGTGGACTGAGAAGCTAAACTAGCAGAATTGCTATTTGGTTTACTTTGATCAATGAAGGCACATAAAGAGCAATATCTATTGGCGCGTACAAATAGGCTACTAGGCCAATTCTCTAACAACATTCTCTAGGTAATCTAAATGTGCCTCCAACAATCTAATTTGTACCATTAACTTGCCTAACAAGCTATATTCTCATCATGGCTTGAAAGAAATTTCTAGGAGACAGAAATTTCACTTTCTTGAGTTCACAGATTTTGAATTAGTGGCACCAATACATAAGGGTAAGCAGGATGTAGGTACACAGTACCTAGGTTCTCAGCTCTGGAAGGACCATGGTCTATGGGCATGTCCTCTCCACCACTGCAGAGGCAAAGTGGTAGGTATAGCTGTCCCTGAGCACCTGCACTCATTATAATCCCAACATCATAGTCTTTACCACTGATACTAAGCTGTAAGAGAAGTGGCCAGCATTCCTAGTACTCCAACCCAAACAGGAGTGATAGGCACACAACATCATCAGGGGACAGGCAGGGGAGAGGTGAGGAGGACAGGAGAGGGAGGCAGATGAAGTTTGCTGCATGTGTGCATGCATTAGCACTAAGCACTGGGTAAACAAGCTACGAATGGAAAAAATCCAGACAAATATGGACTCCCTCAGAAAATGAGGAAGGCTGCAAAGTTTGGGTAAAGATAAAAATGAGTTTGAAGAATAAGTTCTAGGATCATTTCACTGTAAAAGACAGTATCCATTTAAAAAATAATATTAGAGACTATGGGATGCTTTAAAGACATACAGGCCTTTGTTGAGCTTATGCATCAACTGCTACTTTTATTGATTTTTCAATATTAAGAAATATCAGACTCTTAATATTTGCTTATTTGAATTTTCTTATTTTTATATATTATATAAATATTTCTCACTTTTTCAAAAGATGGGTTTGGTTTTGCTATTTTGTTTTGAGACAGTCTCACTATGTCGCCAGGCTAGTCCTGAACTCCTAGGCTCAAGCCACTCCTCTGTCTCACCTCCCAAGTGCTGGCACTGTAGGCATACACCACCCCACAAGGCTTAAAAAAAAATTAAAGAAAAACTATTAGAGCAGAACTTGTGAATTGATTATAAAAGCACATTTTGAAAATTTCATGTTTGATCAAAATGGGTTACCCTAATTGTTCTTAACTATTAAAAAATTACAGGGTTTAACAAACTGTTAATAAGAACATTATTTTTTTTAGTTAGATGAGCATATTAAGTCAATTTTTCAAAATAAAGCACAGGAACAGTGCTGATTATAAAATGAAGGTGGGATTTGTAAGTCTTTACAGTATAGCATTTAAGTATTGTAGCTGGAATCAAAATCACAGTTTTACAGCATTTTAAGACCATCTGGCACATTCATTTCAGCTCTGTAATGCATCAATAACGACTAGTCCAGGCTAGCTCTGTCTTTTAGCACACTTCAGTTCCGTGCTGTACATCAGCAGCTTGTCTCAGGTGAGGTATGGAAGGAGGTTCTTCTCTATTAAGGCCACTGGCCCAGAGGAAAGCAAACCATCAAGTAACAGGCACGCACAAGTAAAAAGCAATTTCATTAGCTATATCTGTTTTTTTTTTTTAAGGTTTTAAAAATCACATAATCACATAGCTCTTCAAATTGAAAAGAAGTGAAAGAAGGTTTTTTATTATTTAATAAAGATATGCTAAATAGTTTTAAAATGTATTTCAGTTTCCTTGTTTCAACTAAAAAAAAAAATAAAATAAAAGCAAGAAGCAAAGAATAGGTGTGAGGGAGGTGGAGGAGAAAACCACTTTTCTATACAATTACTAGGTGTGAAAGCACATGACCAAGGAAGTGACTGCCAGGGTCTCTGCTGAGAGGCTGCCACCCAGGGCAGTCAGGCTGTGTGTATGTGTGGGCACAGGTGGGCACAGTGTAGTTAGGACTTAGACACTGTCTCATTTATGTTTCAGTCTTCATGAATCTCAGAGTTTTGTATACTAGTAATGATTCCGTTTTAAACCTGATTTATGGTGGATATCTATTCCTCCCTCTTTTCTCCTAAACTCAAAAGAATTTTTTCTAAAGGTATTTGAAGTTCTCAAAATAGCAGCCAAAGATGCAGCAGGACCAAAATCAGTTCTAGACCTGTTACTTCATAAAATCATAAAACATTCATACTTGATTTATCAGAAACGGGAAAAAATATTCTCACCCTCTCCCACAGAGATAAAACACAAAAAGAGGCAAAACAACACTAGAGATGCAAAGGTCCTAGACACATATCCTTGAGGAGCTGTGCACTTTTAAAATCCTTTAAATTGACCCTTTGGGCTATTTCTAATCAGTTTAAACCCAGGACCAATGTTAAACAGATGATGCCACCCTGAACCTGGTGAGAAAATACTCAGAGAACACAGCAGTGAGGCTGACTTACAACCTCAATAAAGCATGCCAAAATTACCTTTTGATTTATTTTCTGAGTTGGAAAAACAGAATCCTCCATTACAAAGTGTGAACAGGAAAACAATGTCTTCATTCCAAAGACTAAATGTTAAACTCTTAAATCAGTGCTTGATTAAATATATTAATGAAATTAATGGGAAAAATGAAATGGAATTCAATTATGGATTAGCAAAGAAAGCGTTCTTTGTTTATTGTCTGCCTATATTAGGAAGAATCAGTACCTATCGCTTATAAATCATTAAAATAAAAATGCTCAATTAATCCTTATTTTATATGTAAAGGTCTAACAGAAACTCGTCCTATCACTAGACCTTTGCTTCACAAATCGAAGCAATAATGGTTTCAGAAAGCAGTCACACTCTATGAGCAGACAATTGGAGAGATTTAGTAAATCCCACTTTATAGAGCAGAGACTAATCGGAAAACACAAGCCAGTCAAATGTTTCTTATGAACTGTTGACACTATATCAATGCTGAATCAATTGGTGGCATTTACTCTGAGTGACAGAAAAGAAATAAATATTTATATCACATAACCTATATCAATGAACCCAGGCAGAAAGCTATTTCTACCCTGTCAATATTTGATTATCTTGAAGAATCATGTCCCTTTCTTTTAATGATTAATATGAATTCCTTATTAAATCTAAGTGGAGGCCAGTGGAAAGGCAAATCATTATTAATGCTTGAGAGCATAAACCACTAAAATAAAAAAACTACGCTCAAGTGTTAAAGTATCGTTAAATGTGACTTACATCTTCCATATCAAGTGGTGTCAGCGCTCAGCCCAGAAATTTATTGATGCCTATGCTGCACGTTACCTCGGTAAAGTGCAATCTCACCCATGGTTTAGTTAATCTGTAGCACCAACAGGAATCAGTAGAAGATATTTTGAAAACTTCCAAAGGTGGAGTGTTTTTAGTTTTTGAATGAAAATAACTTAAGAAAAGCTTATCCTTAAAATAAATAAAATGCCAGACTATTTAATGTGGGGTTTAGCACATCCCCAAGGGAAAGAGATGAACAATCTTTAAGTGTCAAAAATCATTGCCATGACCATCTCCCACCACAGAGAATCTCATAGCTGAGACCACTAAGATGTGTATGGTACTAGGATTTGTTGTCAAAACATTGGGAACATTTCAGAATGCTTACTTTTTGCAGTGGAAATCAATTGTTTTTCATTTTTGAAAGAGGAATCTATGACAGGTTATTTTCCATTGCCTGGGTTGAACAAATGTAGTTAAAGCTTCTTAATTTATGTCAATTTTGAAATATATTTTCCAGCTGAAGAACACAAGTGACTGCTACATAAATTACAATTAGTAACTAGAATGCAAGCATGGTGAAGATACATAAATATCCTAGGCTCAATGTTTCTAGTTAGGTTTTATTTCAGTAGTTAGGTTTTATTTCATATAGGTTCTGCACATATCCCAAGCACTGGGGTGAACTCATTCTAAACAATTTTTTTGCTCTTAAAGGCAAAATTATTAGGTAAATACTATCTAAAATTTGAGGGCTGGAGATAAAGCTTTATTTATTTATTTATTTATTTTTCCTGCTCTGGGCTCAATCCCCAGCAGGAAAAATAAATAAATAAATTAAAACCTATCTAAAACTTTGAGACCACCAAGATTATACATACATATAATGCTAGATTCTCCTCAGCTGCTTGCAAGATGTTTAAGGACAGGAGTTCACACACACTGGATGACAACCAGCTGTCAGAAGCCAATCAACTTAATTTTCTCTAACTGTATTCAAGGGATGATATGCTAAGTAAGAAAGGCTTTCAGAAGCACTACCATACAGCCACCGTTTTAAAGCACGTGCATCTATCAGACCACAATGTTACAGGTGATATTAAAGGACAAGCATGAGGACCCAGCTTTGTCTTCCTGACATGCTCCACTACAAGTACTTGATTCATGAAATGCCAATGAGGCTTGGAGAGGTCAGCGTGTGAAGGCACTGAATAAGCATCTGAGATAATTAAGATTTCAGCCTTCGAAACATGGACGGGAAGTGAACAGCAGTTAAGAAAATCAATAAGAGTCTTTTATTTGCAGTGACACAGATGTCTCAGTCAATAGAGCCTAATAGGCAGGCTTGATCGCAATGGACAGGCACCTGCCTGCAAGGCTATCAGAGGGCTTCCACTATAACAAACATTAAAACGCATTTATGTTGCTATTGAAGAATCGAGGACCCTGTAGGTAGCGTAATTTACCAGTGTATGTTTAAAAGCACTATACTATATCAAATGTGTCCATTTACTTGAATTAAAATTAGTGAGAAATAACTGGCCTGCAGGCCTGTTTGTCCTCACTGGCTGGGTTAGGTCACTCAGTTTCACATGGCCATCATCTAGGCAAACCAAGGTTTCCAGAAGCTCAGGGATTTTCTGTGCCAAAGGTCTGATGTCCTGCTGCTCTCCTAAAATCAGTGTTAGTTTCAGGACAAAAGGAGCTAAGGTTAAAAAAAAAAAAAGTACCAGTTTTTCATTTTCTCCCCCAAGATAATGAAAGAAACAGCTGCCTCAGAATGCAGGACCATTTCAACAACCCATGGGTTAACACACTTGTTCAGAACTGATTAACTTTTTAAAAACTGAGATGGCAGCAGGGTGTGTGCATGGTACTTCAATCTGCTGGGAGTGAAACCCATTAGCACAGTTTGAAAAACGTGCTGCAAATTGTTCTGCCAATCAAATTAAACCATGTCATTCATTTATGACAAGAAGAAAGTCACAGGTTCTTTACTGTTTAATAAGTTTACGGATAAAAACTGTACAGTAATAAGTTACTATTACTTGAAAAGCTTCATATTTACATAATACCTACCTGCCCAGTGGCTAATATTTTTTTCAGTTCAGCAGAAGACTTCTTCAAGCTGAAAAGGAAAGACATAATTAGTGGTGAGATCACCAACACCTCTGAACACTACTGAAAATTCCAGACGAAAATACACATTTGCTTTTAGGTATAGACACAGACTATACTTCTCTCTGTGTAAGATTTTTTTTTTTTCCAGAGTGACTGGCTGAATATCAAAGGTATCAACAAGGTGAATGAAATCTCATTAATAATCTAAGCAACAAAGAAGCCTACAGTCAAGAGGAAGCTACAATATTTAATGGACAACTGCAGTGATATTTTGGATATTAGTTCCGCTGCCTTTGGGTAGCCTTTCAGTAGCAATTTTATGTGGACACTGTCGTCTGGTAAGCACAAAGTATCTAACAATGCACTCTAAGAATGTTCACAGTAAACACAGGTTACAGAACTTTAAAAAATAAAATAGAAAAGAAGTCCTGGTCTTTTAGTACAGTTAAGAATTACAACTTAACTCCTGGGAAGTCAATGTACAGTAGAAATAAATCCTAGTTTTCAACAGTTGCATGATCTGGGATAAGCTACTCATCCTCTCTGAACTTTAATTTTCTCTTTCTATAAAATGGAAAAAATATCAACTTTATTGAGTAAACAGGAAAATTAAATATCACAAAATAGCACTGTGTCTTATACATAGTCAATATATTTTTATGAATAAAACCAATAAATTGTAGCTGTCTCCTCTGCTTTCCTACAGACATGAGACTCAGCTCCAGTGTTATTTAGGGAATGTTAAGATGTTCTCTGAACATATATGGTTATGTGCTATACCTTGGATCTTGATGTACCCTAAAGGCTTAGTGAGAAGAGGTAAGGCCTAGTGAGAAGTTTTAGGTCACTGGGGGCATGCTGGAGGGAATTGTGGGATGCTGGTGTCTGCCTCTTTTTCACACACACACTCTCTCTCTGTTTGCTTTTACACTACTATGAGGTAAGCAGCTTCACCCCTACACGCTCCACCATGATGTGCTGCCTCACTACAGGTACAAAAGCAATGGGAACAATCAACCAAGGACTGAAACCTCCAAAATAAACTTGTCCTGATGGTCTCAGGTATTTGCCACAGCAACAGAAACCTAATACACTATTAAAAATGTATGGTGGATGAGGTTAGCAAAAGACCATCTTAAGAAAGAGGGGTGGCCAAAGGAAGGTTCTTCCAACTCTATCATGAGTTACACCTGTACATGTCCACCCAACCAATAGAATGGTGTTCAAAATGGCATCAATGTTCTATTTTTTTAATATTTATTTTTTAGTTGTAATTTGGACACAATACCTCTATTTTTTCATTTATGTTTACGTGGTGCTGAGGATCGAACTCAGGGCCCCGCACATGCTAGTCGAGCACTCTACCGCTGAGCTACAACCCCAGCCCCTCAATGTTCTTCCTTTTAAAAACTTTTTTTAGTTGTAGATGAAGACAATACCTTTATTTTATTTTTATGTGGTGCTGAGGATCTAACCCAGTGCCTTCCACATGTGAGGTGAGCACTCTACCACTAAGCTACAACCCCAGCCCTTAATGTTCTATTTGACATTAAATTCTTCCTAATTCTATTCTTAATTATGCACTCTAACCCTCTACCTATCTACCAGATTAACTCTTTCCCTGTGTGAGTCATTGGTGTAGTCATCTTTCTTCCTACCCCAAGATGGGGAGCTCCCTGAGAACACAGACCATGTCTCATTCTATCTATTCCATTCCCTCCTCATCCTCAAAGTGAGCTGGCACAAGCAAGATGTTCAGTAAATGGTGGTTGTTGCTCTGGTTGTTACTATATTTGGCAGTAGTTGTAGAAACACAGTAAAACATAAAGATCTTAAAAACATCAGAAAGCAAAAGGACTCAGGACCTAATACAAAATACACATGCATCATTTAGTATCTTCAATACATTACATTTGAGAAAATTTCAGACTTCAAGTTTTTCAATTGCCAAATTATAACTATTTTTCTCTCTAAAGACTTCTTAAACTTCTGTGACCCAACACAGACCATGGAGCCTCAGTCCTCACTTTCATAGGTTTCAGAAGACATGTTCTCATTCTAGATGTTAATAATGTTCCCCCAAGTCTAAGAATCCATGTATTAAAGTGGCACTTAAGAGACTAAAGCCAAAACATACCAAAAAGCAAACAACTGCATATAATCAGTCCAATTAACAAAATGACAACAGCAGGTCCCATTTACCAAATGATGTCCAAAGCCCAGAACTGTGTTGAATGCTATTACTTATTATCCTAATTTAATCCTCACAATAACTACACTTTTGAGGATATAGATATTATTCCTAATTTAAAGATGCAACTAAGGTAGAGGCCTAGCTCAAAGTCAACCCCCCCCTCACCCACACATACAAAAAAAAAAAAAACCTTTTATTCTGGGAAATATTTAAATACAAGTATTCTCATAAATGACTCCCAATTTGATAGTTTCAATTATTGTAAAGACACAAATAACCAAACAAAGCCTAGGTAATGTTTCTCCACAGATATTCAATTATGTCATAAACTTGAAATAATAACATTTTGATTCATTGCATTTACAAAATGCCTTTCATCCAAGAAACAAAATGTGATGCCTTAATACAGCTTCATCAATCTTGCTAACACCAGAGGTAGATAGATGGAAAGTTTAATCATCCTAACTTTACAAAAGAAAAAAGCTAAGTTGTTTAGGAAAAGCCTTGTCTTGGCAGTTGGGACTTGGAATTCAGTAAATATGACCCAGCAACACCACATGAATTAGAAGGCTTAGTATAATAAACAGTTTAATAAACAACAATGAAAAGAACAATTCATGCTTTGAGAGCAACATAAGAAAACCCTGGTTTCGGACTGGAGATGTGGCTCAAGCCGTAGCGCGTTCGCCTGGCATGAGTGCGGCCCGGGTTCGATCCTCAGCACCACACACAAACAAAGATGTTGTGTCTGCCGAATACTAAAAAAAAATAAATACTAAAAAAATTCTCTCTCTCTCTCTCTCTCTCTCTCAAAAAAAAACCCCAAAAAAACCCTGATTTCATTCAATATGCCAATATCTGGGTACCAACTTAGTCTGGTAAAAAAAAAAATCACTGTGGGGCTGAGGCTGCATGTTTAGCATTATGAGGCCATGGGTTCAACTCCAACTGCCATCGCCCCCCCCCCCAATAAAAAACATTTTGTATCCTGGAAATTACTTTGTGTATCACTTTATTTATGATTTCATTCATCTGTATGGCTAGAGTGACTTGAGCTTTTTAAAAAAATCACTTTTTTAAAAATAATTTTAAAATTTAAATGTCATACATTGTAACCTGGGCATGACACTGAAGAGAGACACTGAGATATCCAAAGAATAAAAAGGTAAAGAATCAGAAAAGCAAATGAGTTGGGAGAATTAAATCCAGAGGTGACATTTAAAGGCAATGTAAGCACATATAGTCATTCATCCACTCACTCCACCATGATTAATCATCTCCTATGTGCTACACATCATGCCAAGAATTGGGACTTCAATAATGGATATGCTATAGTCACAGTCCTTGGTACAGAAGCTGTTGGGGGGACAGAGGTGATTATACTGCCATGGGCTCACTGATGCAGTAAAGGGAAGCATGGGGGATTATAGGAATCTATAGAAGGGGTATTTTGTGTAGACTGGGAGGTAGATGGTAATCACAAATAGCTTTCAAAAGAAGAAAATTTGGTCCACAAAGATGACTAAGGTCAGCCAGATTGAAGGGGACGGTGGTTACAGAAACAAAAAAAGGGTGGGGGGACAAGAGAGGCAAAAACAGATGTGCAGGTCCACTGTAAGAGGAAACTGATCCATTCGGGTACCTCGTGTTCCTCAGCAAAGCTGGAATGAACAGAGCATCTGGACCTATCGGGCCACTGGCTCAGTACCAGTGGCAGTCATGCTTCATTCTGAAAGCATGAAGAATAGTAAAGGACTTAAAAGTAGGCAATGATGGTTCACAGCTGGCCCTCAGTGCTATGGTTTGGACTTGGTTCATCCCACAAAAGTCCATGAGTTAGAGGCTTGGTCCTTAGTGAGACAGTGTTGGGGAGGTGGACCATTAAAAGGTGGGACCTAGTGAGAGTTCTCAAGTCAACTGATGTGTATCCTCAAAAGGGACTGTGGGACCAGGGTCTTTCTCTGGCTTCCTGTATCAAGATGTGATTATTCAGGCTGGGGCTGTAGCTCAGTGGCAGAGCACTTGCCTAGAATGTGTGAGGCACTGGGTTTGAGTCTTAGTACCACATAAAAATACATAAAGAAAGGTATTGTGTCCATCTACAACTAAAAAAAGAAAATTAAAAAATAAAAGATATGATTACTCACTCCCACATACCTATAGCTCCTGCAATCATCCATGAGGTGACACAGCCAAGAAGAAATTCTTACGAGAGCTGTGTCATGCCATTGGGATTTGCAGCCTTCAAAATTGAACTAAATAAGCCTCTTAACTTTATAAAATTAGACTGCCTCAGCTATTTCATTATAGTGATGAAAAGCTAACTAATATAATTAGCAAAACCACTCCAGCTATGGGGTGGAGGACAGCCTGAGATGGGGTGGAGGACAGCCTGAGATGGGGTGGAGGACAACCTGAGATAGGGCAAAGCTGGAAGTAAGGAGCCTCGGGAGGCTGTGTGGTGCTCTAGCCTGAAGCACCTGAGCCACAGCGGGGACACAGGCTAGTAGACAAATGCAGAGC